GGTCGATGTTTCTGAGGTCATACTGCCTCCGTCATCAGGGCGATGAATAACATCAACCAGACTACACAGCGCAACAACCCAGAAGACAGAAATCTTCAAAGCCTTCACCTTTGCCAAAGCTTAAAATTTAGAAATGTAGAAAGTACCATAGTTCAGAGACCATTGTATGGATATGTCTCTTGGTACTGGATATTCTTTTCCAATCAATCTTACTGGAAGTAGCGAAATATGCTCTGTAGGTGCTCCTCCATAAATAGTTGGACCAACCTGGAGGCCTGTGCCACAACAGAAATAAATCAACAGTGTAGTGTGATGTACCTGGTAATCTCTTTTCCCTGGACACACAATCTCAAAAGTTGCATCTTTCCTCTTGAGATCCTTGTTACAGTTGGGTGCAGGACGAGCCACGAAACCTTGTACATTCACGTGATCGTATGGTCTAACATCACGCTGTGTATAGTACATAAGTAGAAAATGTCCATAGAGCCCTGTCCAAGATTTTCGCCACTGGTCTAAGAAAACAACTTTCTCTTTTCGCCACAATGGTCCATATTTGACTGTTATATTTTGAAGTGTTTTAAAGGGAAGATTCACTTTAAAAGTGTCTTCAAGTTTTATAGAATTAGACGAGGAAGATCGTGATTGGCTGGCTGCAGCTGCAGCTGCTGGTATTTCCTCATAGTTTTCTTCTATGTTACCATTCATACCTACACATAAAACAGGGCTGACATGTAAACAATGAATTTTACTGTGATTATATTGGACATAGTTTACTGACATATATTTGATATAATGTGACATCTTAGTAGTTGGGATCATTCCATATTCAGCTCATTGTATGTAATTAAACTGGCGGACTGTTACTATATGTCTTCAGCTCTAAAATTGCTGTGATGGATCTGACTGAAATTTAATATTTGAAACCATCACTAAAAGTTGTTTGGTGACTTTCATTTTGGTTCGTATTAGTCATGTGAAATCTGTACATTATGCAAAGGCATTCCCATCTTCAAAGAATATGGGTTTTTAACATGGCTCTGCAATGGTACAAGCCAGAAGACCAACACCAACTATGTTAATATGTATTTACATGATGTTGTTTATTGCCAAATTTCTTGTTGAAGCAGCATACATTCTAAGTAAAATTTGAGGGTTTTTTTGGCTGAGTGTCAACTGCCTTCATTTTTAGGGATTTTAATCTATTAAATTAGTGCTAGGCAACGACGGCTGGAGCGTGAAACTGATAGCAAGCCTAATACCGAGTTTTTTCCCCCTGCGTTGAAACTATGCTCAGTGGCTATTGCTCATTCTTAAGTGCATTGCAGCCTATAGCGCAATAATGCAAGGCATTCAGACAGCAGGGTTTATGTTAACATATCTGTCTAATCTTATCTCCGGTGCTGTGCAAACTGTACAGTCTAAACAATTGCAGTTCCAGCCAATGTTATGGGCGCGTGGATTTTTATTTGTCCTGTTCTTAAAAATATTTGAAACGATTTACTGTCTTTTGTTTTACAGTACTTGTGATTTTCAACGATCTCCAAAACCAGTATATGCCAGCCATTTACTGTAAACACATACTTAGTACAACTGCGATGAAACAGAGTAACTATAAATGTTAATTTTGTCACCAAGTTTACTTAAGGGCTTTCTCACAGAAGATCCATAACTGTGTTGCTGATTCGGGTACTATGGCGGGCGGAATCTCAGATATTTGTATCTACGTCGCGTGCACAAGATGAATATGTCGATGCTGGTTAGTAGACATGTACATAGATACCACCGTTTCGGAGAAAAATACTTTTACCATCTTCAGGGCCACCTTGAGAATCTCAAACCTGATAAGATAAATAGAGAGACTATGTTTTTCTATAGTGTGTTCCAGTTGTGTTTTGAGTAGTTTTCGACTTACTTTTTGTGTCAGTGTGCTGTGGGGTCATTTTGGTAAGTGACACGACGTCTCCACCGGACCGCCGAATGTGAGGTTCCAGGCGCTGCAGAAGCCCAGCCCGCTGTACTTCCGCCCTCGGCGAGAGAGGCTCTCCGACCAGGGTCTCTCCAAGAAACCGCCCCAAGTCTATCAGGCAGTGAAAATTATACAACTTTTCATTGTGCAAATATTTCATGTCACAGTTTTAAACTACAAGTTAAAAGGAAAAATCTCGTACGGTTTTGCATTTGTTTGATACAACAGTGATAATCAGCTGCAGAGAATATGTGATATCCAATTAGATATGACAATATGGTCGCTAATTTTGAGTTGGAAAACCATTAGAAGAATACAATAATTTTATTTTCCGTCCTTACACAAGCTTATAGATTGTTAAAATTACATAAAATTATAACATTTCAACATTTTTGATATTGTTACATTTAAAATGTAACAATATCAAAAATGTTGAAATGTTATAATTTTATGTAATTTTAACAATCTATAAGCTTGTGTAAGGACGGAAAATAAAATTATTGTATTGAGGAACACAAGCATGATGCAATTAAGATATAAGCATTAGAAGAAATTAATTATAAGAATTTTACTTTAAAATTCAATGGGTGAAATTAGAAATGTTTGTTGAAAACTTTGAATAGATGCCTTAGCGATGATGTAAGGTTAATATAAAAGTGAATTTTGAATGAAAAGGGTTTGGTGGTGTTGGCTGGACTTAGCCGTCTCAAACTAAAAATGCAGTAATGAGACGAAACACTGTAAAGTTAGAAAACTAATGGACAATTGAGGGTCAGCCGATGTTTTTATATCGCATATTAGAACGGTTGTGAGCCTTCTGTTTGAAGATCAAGTCAATTCTCCGCTCAGACAGACAGTAAATGTTGTTTCATGCATTAATTATGCTTTCCAGTCCTTTATTTTAAAAATATTCCGTCAGATTATAGGATGTCTAAAGACTGTCAATTCCTTAAATCAGGCCACACGTTAGCTTCGAACACTGCAGTCAGAACTCACTTTTATGGTAATGGTAATGTCTGAAATGCATACAGGAAACCGATTACACGTATCCCCTGATAGGATGACTTCCGGACAACCGCCGGGACCAGCTTTCTTTCTGTTCTACTTGCTTATGGTATTCACATTTATCGCGAGTGGACACGCTTATTTCAGGATAACGAGAAGCGTAAGACATAGAAGAAAACCCTACCTAAGCGGCGCGTGTTGAATTATTATGCGTAATAACATCTTTATCAATCAACACTCAACCACTACAAAGTTAATCACTTCATTTACTTCCGTCTTTTTATTTGTTATTTCTTGTTCTTTGTTATTGTCACTGTACGTTTCCTTCACCGAACGTTGCGTTCTAGTGGTAAGCATTCCTGGTTTGTATTCTGGATGTCCCGGGTTCAAAGTTTCTCCAGCAGATCGCTTACCACGATGTTTTACATTCTGTTCTTCAATGTCTCCTGGTAAATTCCTGGATAGTGCCTTAAATTAGACCACGACCGCTTACTTCCAAACCCCTTCCAATTAATCAGTTATCATCCTATCGTTCAACGCTATAAAGCTAAAGAGAAAGTTGTTAAGTAAACGACAAATAAATATTTATATTTTTTATGCTTCTGTTTCGTCCTTTCTTCTTTCGTTCATTTATTTTCTCGACAGTTTACCACAAAGCATAAAGCTTAGTTTGTATCTTGTCAGCACTCGGTATATTCCCTTGTATGATACAGGGCAACTGCTTAGCTCTGCAAATAGACAGCAAGAGATAATGAGAAGTGTAAATAAAATTGCTGGTGACTTCTGTATACTGTAGATTTCCTGTTACCCAAAGATTCCTCATATATACAAGCATTCTGTGTGGCCTAAAATAATTCGGTGTTTAATGTATAGATGGCTGGTGTTCAGCGAACAGCTGAACATCGCTTTTCAATTTAATTTTGGTTTTTATTTTGTGATTTAATTTGTTGTTTTACTGTTATTAAAATCTATAAATAATAATTATTATTGTTATTGTTAATTCTGCACACAAATTTTACAATATTGGCGCCGTATCTGTTCGCCTGTACTACTGAGCGAATGTCGGTCAAATTTGGTATTAGAGGGTACTACACTAAAAATTTGTCTGGTGAAATTAATTTTTGTTCGTATCGTTCCCCGGCAATAATATAACATACTTTACACGCCCAAATCGAAATTTGGCAGTGTTTTAAAAATCACAGTAAAAAATACTGGGCCACGTGAACATCTGTAAATTTCGCCTGAAACGTTTCTAGATCTGATAAACGTGTATCGAAATGCAAGAAAATTACATGCTTCCAGCGAAGCAGTTATCATCAGGTTAAAAAACTGTACAGAACCTGTTGCACGTATTTGATGCAAATAATAATAATTATTACATTAAGTTCTTAGTTTTTCGAGGACAAAATATGCTGAAATAATCCACTGGTAGTAATCTGTAAAATAATTCCTACAGCATGGTAACATTCTGTTGTTTTGTTGTTGTTGTTGCTGCGGTTTGATGTGTTGCGTGTTTTGTGTTCTTGACAACAGCACAAGAAACACGCATTTCTCGAATTGCCACATAACAACGGCGGGATTTCAATAGGCACCTAAAATGTTTCGAATGATAATTGGTGATTTTTAGGTTGTCTGTCCGTCTACACAAGAATTTTTTATTATAATTTCTATGTTCATTAAGAATCCATTACATGTTTCGACCTTAATTGGTCATCTTTTTAAGTGTTCGAAACTAATAGATTTGACTGCTAATTTTATAAACATTTTCTGGTATATTATATCCACTATATTAAATTAACCATAAACCTATAAACCGTGAACTAAAACAGCAGAAGGCAGGCTAAGAAATCAAATTATGTATTGCTGCTACTTACCATCCAGTACGTCTTGTAATGTGCTTTCAGTCGAATCCATATTTGTCCATGAATTCGTCAATGCAAAGTGTAATAACGCTCACAGTCTTTGATTGATTAGAAAAAATGAGTTACTTATGCGTTTGTTCACACATTCTTACGTAAACCTACACGTTTTTGTGCGAACACAACCATATGAAGTGCGCAAGTAATCTTGCTTCCATTCCAGTAGTCCAAGAAGTGAGCTCTGCTGAATTCACACCAGCAGCTATGAAAACTGGTATGAATGCGGAAATGTCTGAGGAGGATTTCACGTTGGTATCACTGGAACATACTTTTCATTGTATTTCAGCACATACTCGTTTCGATAAAAGTTTGAAATAAGAACTGTATGTTTTAATGCGATTTGGCACGTACAAAGTTTCGGTTTACAGAAACTTGCGAATTTCAACTTGAGTCTCATGTATAATGTATATTGGAGCTATTCAGACCTCCAATACCAGATTCAGTCAAAATTCTTCAGTTCGAACGACGTGAACCCGCGAGGCGATATGAAAGGTCTGATCTCTACCTTGATAACAAGCGAATGCATAAAGGGCAAAATTCCTTTTACAGGATAAGTCATATTTATCAACAACATATTGGTTAAAAGAACATACCACTTACTAACATTTTCAAAACTGACTATGATTTACAATTCTGGAAATAATAGTGTATTTCTCAGAAAATGAAGTACGTTGTCCTTTCACATTTACCAACTGCAAGATCTGATGAATCAAAAACTTTTTCTAATTAAATATGTATGACACAGTGAATAAGTTCATGAAATCATTCTCTGGTTTTGCTATATCGCTGAAAGTGTTATTTTCATTGTACTATGGAGGTGCACAGAAAACTGGCACCTTCTCAGTAGCATCTCGTATAATGTAATTTATATGTGGTTTATTCAACGACACTGGCAGTAGCTCATACATAGCATTTAATAACGGGATGATTAATGAATTGGTTGTGGAAGGAAGCACTTGTGGCCGTGTTTAAGGCACTGTCCAGGCATTTACCTGCAGAGACTGACGAAAACCACGAAAGCTTATAATCAGATTAGGAAGTTTATTTCAGAATTTGAACTTTTGGATCTCCCGAATACGAAGAACAAATTCCAGCCACTTGGCCACGAAGTTCGGTCCAAGGTTTTTTCTCAGTTGCAAATCCTTGTGCAGTTTAAAGGCTGTATAAATAATTATGTGAAAATAAATCTTTAACGTTGCCTACGTCAGCAGCTAGATCTGTTGGATATTCAGGCAGTAATGAGAAATTTGGGCACTTTTCTTTCTCTCGGCACGTTCCAGGTAAGCGCATAAAGACAAAATACAAGACGCGGGTAATCCTTCGAATATCTGTGATGAGAACAACACTTGCGCACTCGAACACAGATTACGTAATATCGAACATGCCATCGAGAAACCGAGATTGTTCTAGAATCGAAACGCAAGAAGGTTCTGGAGTGTCTGTTAACGTCATACGCCATATATAAAAGGACAAACAGCGTTGCTTGTGTGTTCAGTGGTTTGTGTGACGAATCGTTGGTGATTACAGGCGGCTTGCGAAGCTAAATTGAAGAAGTATCGAGAAGGTGAACGAAATTCAATTTGAAACTATTTCATCAGTCAAGTTTTGCACGAAAACTATATTTCAAGGTAAGGTAAATTTTATGGAAATGTATTTATCCGTTTAAGTTTAAAAATTACATGTTTTTTTTAAAGTTATATTAAAGTCTCTGCAACAAGTTCTGAATTGCTTTTTGCATGTCTTGTAGATGAAACTGCTCCGTTCTACTATATACTTACAAACTATCATTTGTAAAACTAATCTGCACTCAGTCTGGTTGTGTGAGTTTCTAATAACAGAGTAGTCAGAAAGTCTACATTTGATAAAGTCTTGTGGGTAGGAACATCATCATTTGGTCTGAGTATAAAACTGAGCTCAAGAGAATGCACTTGTGTTTAAAAGTTGTTAGTGATTGACATTTATGGTGAAAAGTAAAAAAACAAGGTAAAGAATCTTCCTACTATGTAGATGGTGAGTGTTTTTTTAATACACATACACACCATCTGAGCTTTGTGACTGCTGAGTCAGGTTGGTTAGACAATATGATTTGTTTCAGATGTCACTCCTTCCATTGCTTATTGATGATTTGCTCGACGTCCCCCGGAGGCCTGTACATTTATTCGACCAAAACTTTGGCATGGGAATGTTGAGAGATGAGCTTCTGAATCCTTCCCTTATTGCCCCTCTTCGTGCAGGCTATTACAGACCATGGCGCAGTCAGGCAGCTCGCCACAGTGGAGTATCAAACATAGAGAACACTAAGGATGGTTTCAAGGTGAGAGCTAATTATTGTTGCAGGGCTGATGTTGGATGCATCCATAAATCAAGACCCTCTTGAATATATTCTGTAACAATCAGTTTCTGAAAGAAGTGAGTCAGTAAAGAAGAAAGATGATAACGTATATAATCTGGTAGAAAATTTTATGCTTAAGAGTTGGGTTATGTTACTACATCACCTGCTGTCTATTCCCACAATTATGTGGATAATACTGACGGTAATGTTTGTGTAGTAAATATATGAAAATATCTTTTTATTTTGGCTAGGAGCATTCAGAATTTGGAGTTTGCAAATTCATGTGTGTAAGACTTGAGGTTCTCACAGCGGTGAGTATGAAGATATCTGTCTTCTGGGTTGTTGCGCTGTGTAGTCTGGTCGATGTTAACCAACGTTTCAGAGGTCATACTGCCTCCGTCATCAGGGCGATGTGTGTATTCTGGTACACCTTTTTAATATGTTCAGACTCTTGAAGATACGATAGAAAGTTCCATGTACAAAGTGTAAGGCATGTATAGAGTTCTGTTATTAACCACATTAATTTTTTGTTTTACACCATATTGTAGTTTAATGTCTGCTTTTACTACAAAGAAGATAAGTGACTTGACATCAAACTAGTAATATGCTCAGGGTAATAAGGGGAAGACTGAAGAACTTGGACCTCTCAAGATAAGCAGTTAATATAATTAGAAATGCCAGTTGTTTTCAGAAATAATGTTGTTTCTGCACATTCTATGCAGATTGACAGGCAAGAATACATGCACATTGTCAGATTGAAGTTCCATCTTGTGGTATATTGCTTTACAGCAGGTCTGCAGTGAATGTCTAGAGTAGCGATGAGGACTGAAAATTCTAGAATTTCAAACTCGCCAACACAGTAATTTAACTGAGAGGATGAAGTTAATTTTTGAATCCTGCATTTGCTTTAGGTAAATCTGGATGTGCAACAGTTCAAGCCTGATGAACTTACTGTAAAGATGGTGGATGACTATGTAGTTGTGGATGGGAAACATGAAGAGCGGCAGGATGAGCACGGCTTCATTTCTCGACAGTTCCAGCGTCGCTATAAGCTACCTAGTGATGTTCATCCAGACACTGTGCTGTCGCAGCTTTCATCAGATGGGGTCCTTACTATTTCTGCACCAAAGAAGGCTCTTCCTACATCCACTAATGAAAGAGTTGTCCAAATCACTCAGACCCAAGCCCCAGCACTGAAGCAAGAGAAAGCTAAAGGAGATGAGGGTCAGAAGATGGAGTCTTAAGGAGTTTCTGGTGACTGATCCAGCATTTATGTTAAAAGTATTGCATTCATTATATATATGTTCCTGTTCTTGTCACTTTATGGTAATTGAATGAATGCTTCTTTGTGTCATTTGAAAGATGCATTGTAATTCAGATAAGTATAAGACAGCTTGAAGATACATACTGATTAATTGCACATACATTATATATATTGAATAGTGTTTTAGAATTGCTTCACACCTGGACTATGATGACAATCATTCTGTGAGGTTGCTCAGTAAGAGGCTTTGACAAGATGAGGTATGAAAATTGTTGCACAACTCCACTAAATATTAGGGTAGGCCAAGGGTTAGAGTCTAGGGGAGTGTTGGCTAGATTACCTCAATTTAATTACTTTCCACTTTATTATAAACCAATGTCCTTTGCTACAGAAATTCTTAATTTTTGGAATACTCCAGCTTTATTCCAACAAGTGTCTTGATAGGGTGGACAAATTCTAAGGAATCTCCATATTATGGGTCTTGTCTCATTGTCATATAGAGGCAGTTTGTGGAGAAACCCTTCTATTAGGTTCTTCTAAATCCTAGCTAAGGAATATTGAACGTGGTGTAGATGATGGTGAGAGGAAAGCCATAAATTCTCATATTGTCAGATAGGTCCTGGGTGTTGAAACCAATCTATAAAATAGTTCAGCGTATGCATATAAAATATTAACATACAGTTGCTGTTGATAATATATTCAGAATTATGTTTTATTACTGTACTGTGGTAATTATAAACAATTTTCTTGTATTCAAATGTGCACTGTAATTTAGAATATTCTGCTAAACCAACTGTGTAGACTGATTTATTAATAAAAGAGACTTGAATTTATTGTTCCTAATTTTGCTGTTGATCATTCTCATAACCAAGGATAAGTCGACTTTCCTGGCCATTAAATAGTTATTGATGTGTGCAAATTTCTTCCAAAATGTTTGTTTTGAACCCTTTATCCATGCTCAGTAAGATTTGAGGTTTTCATGGCGGTGAGTCTGAAGATAGATTTCTTCTGGGTAGTAGGTCCTTGCTGCCTCCATTATTGGGGGACCTCTGAAACATGTTAACTTCTACCAGACTACATGGTGCTACAGACTGGAATATGTTGTCTTTCTTTGTCCATGTTCTTTTGGCAAAGTCCTGCTTGATAATGTTTGTCTTTATTTTAATATCAACTTACTGGTGTGGCAGTCGACTTTCAAGTTTTGACAAAAGGTACATACTCACTGGAAGGTTAAAAAGATGTTTTTAAAGAACACGTTTTCATTCACTGCCCCAGCCAAAATACTTATGCTTTATTATAATCACGGACTTCGGCCCAAAATAGCCATTCCATTTTACCTCTATATTGCCCGTTTTATCTACAGCCCTATAGTACACATAACCTGTTACGGATACGACTGCGAATAGGCAAATAATAAGGGAAGGGGTACAATATCCATATTAAATATCCCTGCTGAAGTATTCAGTGACTTCGTTCTTTCGTGGTATTTTACAAAGTATTATTATTTTCATACACTACCACAAAGTTCACATAGATTTAATTTCGGCCATCATAGTTCGCACACCAAGCAGCAGACCGACATAAGGATGTGACGTGCTTTATGTCACACGTATGTTAGTTACTGTGATAGTTTCTGCCCGAACACGCACGTTTCGCTCTTCTTATTTTCTTTGTATAAGCGTTTATTCTGGTGCCGTGCGACTTCATGTAACGCCATAGTTCCTAATCATTAATTGTACAAAATACCTCCTTTTGTTATCTGTGCTAAATATTACATCTGTTGCGCAAGTTGGCTCTTATATGTTGGTAATCTGTAATCGACGGTGTTATGGTAGGTGTACAGTGTACCGTTTCATTTGTGGTGGGTATGGATAAATTTTCACTAGAACATCGAGTGTTTTTATATGACACGTACGTGAAGTGTAATTCTGCCAGGAAATGCCAGAGAAAATTTATTAGGAAGTTTCCCGGAGTTCGGGTTCCCCACAGAAATACCATCCAGAATCTTGTTAATAAAGTAAGAACAACTGGCGTGATAACGGACTTGAAGCCAGAACGTACACGTCGAGTATTAACTGAAGAAAAATTGGACGATATCGCAGCTCGGCTTGAACATTCACCTCATAAGACTTTCAAGCGCCTTGCAGAAGAAACAGGGGTATCAAAATCGACCGTAAGAATCGCAGCACAATTATTGAAACTACGGTCTTGCGAGACCGCAGTGGTACAGTCTTTGCAGCCAGATGATCCTGATGCCAGAGTTCCTGTTCGACCCATGGGTCCAAAACCCTCGGAAGGGGTCAGAGTGTTGCCTTCGTCTCCGCAGCCAGACCAGTCTTTCCGGCACACTTCTCCAGTAAGGCAGTGACATGTAGGTAATATGTAGAGGCAGGGTAAGCAGAATTGCCAGTTTGTGCTGACATTGAGTAATATATGTTGATATTAATGTGCACCAGAGATTTACTATGCTGTTACTCAGTATCTTTATGCAGTTTTGCTGAGAAGTATGTAATAAAGTATGTCCTATCATAAAGTATCATTCAGTTCAAACTGAATTCAGGAAAGAATGGTGTCTGATTCAGTGCTGCTGCTGGGTTATGATATTCTATATTCTTGTAGGTTATTAGAAACATTTTGGGGGGACCTGATTTTATCTTTTATGTTCTTGATTATTTTTCTAATTACAGGTCTATTTGTTTCAGTGTGTGGTGAAAGATTGTGCAGAGTAAAGCTTTATTGGTGAAGGTCTTGCGTGTACATTTATTCATATTCTTTGTATGAGTTACTGTTAAAAGTGGTTAGTATTCCTTTTGCCAATGTTCATTATTTTTTAAATTTGTTTCTTGGCTTCATATACATAGTGTACAGTTAAAGATGAACAGTGTGTTCCCTTTGCATTTGAATGAATAGCTATAGCTATATGCATATGTATTTTTATATCTGTTATTAGAATGCAGTGCAAGATGGAACCTGAAGGTTTTCTGAATATTTACCTGATTTGGTGCTTAAGAGGAGAACACAGAACATGGCCCAATGGCTTACTCATCAGACACATCATGCCACTAATCCCTTGAAACTTCTAGAGATATCATTCCAAATGTTTGAAAATCTGAGTGGCATGTATGGTATCCTGCAAGCTCAACTATGGTAACAGTGACACGTGTCTGTACAGGTATGTGCATTGTACAGTAGTTGTGGAAATATGGTCCCTCAAGAATGACAGGTGGAAATGTAAAGATATGCTTCTTACTTTTCTTTCTTCAGGTACGTGGAAAAATTTGAGCTGAGAGTGGTTATCATAGTGTCCTAGATCAGTCTACAATGAGCCATTATATTGAGATTGTTAGTACAGTCACTGTTCCTGACTTATGGAAACTTCATAGAAACTGTTGAAAACAAATACAGAGCTGGAGAAAGGTAATTTAATACACTTTCAGTACATGCTTCCAAAGTGTAATTTCTCCATATACTGTACATTGGATCTGAATTTCAGTAGAATAATGTGTGTATAGTATTTCTTATATAATTTTAACAGCATGTTTAGAGGATGTAATTTCAGTTTTGCTGAATGTTATAATGAGGTAGTTTTGTCGACCTTATGAAGAGTTTTTATTTCCAGATATTGAAGTTTATTACCAAACCATTACCAGTAGTGAAGTTGGTAATTCAGAGCAGCTAATGTTCATTGGCTGTATTTCAGGTAAGGAGAATTTCTGCATTATTTCTGGCCCTGAATTTGACATAGAAACTGGGGGAAAATGTTTTAAATAAGTGCTGATGCATTAAAAACTGTTACAGCTCTGCGTGTTTGAGAAATGGACATTTCTTCAAAAAAGCCAGATTTCCTGTACATATAGAGAGCTACCATTTTCTACTTCCACTGGTATTGTAGAGGTGATTCTGCTGCCTAAAGCATCCATTTATCCACTGTATTGTGTGGTGTGGGGAGAAAAATTATGATTGCACCTAGTGTTAAGTATCTTTAACAAAGTAATGGTTTTAGTTTGGGGACACAATAGTATGACTGTATATATTATGCACAACTATCATTGAAAGGCTGTCATTTTGAAACACCCTAGGATATTAAGAGCAATGAAGAAAAATGTTTTTCCTTTTCGGTGTTTTTCTTGACAACTATCAGATCTCTGTATCAACATTTAATTGATCAGAATGCTTAGTATCATGCCACCAGTACTCCTGTTTCTCTTTCTCCTCATTGTTGTCATCCTTGCTTTCATTGCCTGAATATATTTGGTCCTTTAAGTACCTCACTGTCCAGATGACCCAGGAGCTGAAGACATGGGTCCTCTGTGTCTGAATCACTTGATTCTAGTACTTTGCTTTCATCTTCTGCTCCCTCATCCATTTATTTTTCTGAATTCACAGGATCAGAAGTGTCTCTGATTTCTTCTTTTCTGAGCATTTTTGATGAATACATACATAAATGAAAATGTAAAATATTAATATTGTAACTGTTAATGTTTACAGAATTATATTATTTGCAAAAACCATGAAGTTCATACAAGTACTTACTAATATCACATGTATGTACATAAACTTTCACATTATGATAAATGAATTTCTAGTGCTATGAACTAGGGCCGCTGTATTGGAAATGCTAGCCTCTGAAGCACTTCATACAAGCATTACTTTTTGCATGACATAATTTATGGGAACATAATTACAGACTTGTATAAAACAGTAAATAACAAAACTATTTCCTCTAGTATGAAAATTCCATTGCATACATAATTTGTTATGAATGAAATAAAATTAAATTCTAAAGTGCAAAGGTGTCTTTAATTAGAAACAAGAACAGCCTTATATCAGTATTAATACCCATTTATTTCAACCTGGAACTGCTTGAAAACTGTTCTGGCAGTTTCATTTTCAGTTATATGGTACTGGTTACTACAGCATTGATGGTGTTATTGGTTTCACCATGAATAACCTTTAAAGATGTCAGTTGTAGCCTTCTAAGTTGTGGTGCCATATAATGATAGGTAACCATCCACAAGGCTACTCATTGTTACAACACTATATTTCTACCACCCTGAAAATCTTATATAACCTTAAGAAATATTAATATACATTCTTCAACTTCATGAATCGGAAATTTGTAGTAGAATATTTTCTTGTTATGTTTGTAATAGGTTATGTAAGTGCCTATTTTGAAAAAACAAGTGCTTAGTTCATTATTATTGCCTCATTGAAGTGCCTAAAATGAAAAGTTTTAGTGCATGAACACTCAAGATCTATTAATGACTATCAAAAGAATAGTTGTCATGATTAACAACTAGATATAATGTGTAGAATTATTACCTAATGTATGTATTATTTTAAGATAACTGGACATGGTGCCATAAGTCTCCAGAAACTATATATACTCCCCACAGATGACATGATAGTCAAGCATTTGTAAAGTAGAACCATTACAGTCTGCCAGTACTTTTAATTCCTTTCATGGATCCTCTTGTGGAGGCTGTATTGAGCAACAGAAGGTATACATTTTGGTAAGGTAAAAAATTTTGGATTGTTATACATACACCTATACAAGGTATGATGAAAACATTTCCAGACTGGCTGGTGGGTAAATTTATTGCAGTTAGGACATTGTTTCTTTGCTAGATGATACAATACAGTCTGCAGCAAGTAAAGTTGAATATATTTGCAAGAGTTTTCTTACAAAGAACACTTCTTGTGTGGTTGACTGCAAAGACCAAAGTCATCTGTGGTCCTGTTCTTTTCCTTTTGCATATGAATGATTATGCCGAGGAGAGAAGACTGCATAATGATGAGCTTAAAAATTTGTACTCATCCCCCAATATTGTCAGGGTGATAAAGTCAAGAAGAAGGAGATAGGCAGGGTTTGTGGCGCTCATGGATGGGGCAAGAGGTGTGCACCAGGTATTGGTCAGGAAGCCTGAGGGGAAGAGACCGCTAGGGAGACCTAGATGTAGATGGGAGGAAAATCTCAGGTGGGATCTGGGGAAGATAGGAGTTGAAGGAGAATGAATTTTTTTGGCCCAGGACGGGATCCGGTGGAGGGCTTTGGTTAATTCGGTAATGAACCTTCAGGTTCCATATGCCATCTGGTTAGTTATATGAATGATCTATCCCTGACCATCAGTTCACAATCCAAACTTTACTTATCATTGATGATGCAAATATTGTTTTTATAATCCTGAGTGTGACTTATTTCAAAATTCCATTACTGTTATTTTTCCTTGCCTGACAAACGGTTTAAAGCCCCGCCCTTGAAAGTAGCTACTTCAGAATAAGTGTGCTCATTTCTATTCCATCATTTAATATGGAGTTATATTAAGGAAAAAATAAACAGCAAAAGGTTGTTTAAGCCGAGAGGTCAACCAGTTATACAGGTCAATGAAACAAGACACCCTCCAAATTACTTCGCAGGGAAAGGATGTATGCACCTGAATAAAAGCATTAGAAGGAAGAGTTATGAAAAATAAAAATAATGATATATTATTATAGCTTCTTATTGTGCGCCTTTTGTTGCTAATTAGCGTTCACAATAGTGTATCATTGTGTGACAGGAACTTATGAAAATTAGCGTATTATTTTGAATCTGTCATTTCGATATACGTGCGTTTCATGTCTGGACTGGAATAATTAAACAAGGTCTGGCAGATGATAAAATTCTTAACTGACTGGAGAAGGGACAAATGTGACGGTTTATGACTTGCGTCACTAGAACAGCTTGACAGGATGTTTATTGGAATAATCTGTGACGATGTGAAATCAAGTGAATACCGATTATGTGGGTAGTTGCCACGGAATATCTGACTTTGCTTTCTGCAAATGTCATATTTATACCAACATAGTACAAATTAAAATATGGTCATTGATCAACGACATTGAAAACGACTAAATCTGTACGTTTGCGTATTTCATACACATGGATGGCGTTTACTGCCACAAAACAGAAGAAATTTTTACTGCTCATCCAGATTCTTTCTTTAATGCAATTATTTCTATACAATTTAACTTCTGGCAGTTTATCCGAGCGATGTTGGTATGATCCGTGCTCTTCCTTCCGGGGCGTCTAGTCTCACGCTGACGCTTTCGTAATTGAGCTTTGTGATTGGTGTTGGCGTTTTATACTGACGTTATGTTGGCAAGGCGTGAGAGTGATTGTGTTCTGTTACGATATATTATCAGTACATATACTGTTGAGATTGAGTATTAAAGTTATGTGAACAAAGTTTCTGAACTTTGAAGTCTTCGGCTATGTCACCTTATGTCTGGTATATTTCACTATTTTGTTATATTTCTAATTTCTATTGTAGTTCAGTTGCAGATTTACTTTGTTTTATGTCTAGTTATCAGTGATGATAAACTGGAATTGAAGGGTTTCATAATCCCGTGATTATAATTTTTTTACCTCCATTGTATTTATTGTTACTGTATGGAGTCCACTGAATAATGTCCAAAGATTTTATCCCAGACGAAGTAAATAGAGTCATAGGAGTCAAATCTTATTAGTAGAAGGAGCATCAAGAGTTTCATGGGAACATTTGCATTTTTGAGGCATTCAGTATTAAATGCAAACTCCTACAATGCTTCCTTCACAAGGCATGTTGTGTATATTAAATGTTAAATAGTTTTATAGAAGGGAACTTGGAGGAAGTTGTTATGGCCTATTTTAAGATACTGTTTCAACATTTAATGGAGGAACCAAGAAAGAAATGTTTTAATGTTCATGAAAGCTGGTCAAAAACATTTGGACAAGACACCACAATGAGAGGGGAGCAGCATTACTGCTGTATATTTGGTTTAGAATATTTATGTAACAGTTTGTCTTGAATTTGATTTATTTCTGCTGTGTCTCAACAGAAAGTGAGGGAAGAGAGCAAGAACGAGGAAGTGTGCGTGACATGGTGGCTACACTTCAAGCTCGGCGAGAAGAATTGGAAACCAAACTTAATGAGAGAAACCAAGAATTAAAGCTGCTATGCATTCAGGAAGCAGAGTTGACAGGAGTTTTACCACCAGAAACTCCTATGGAACCTGGAGAGTTCCCACCGGTATTCAGACGCCGTGTGGGAACAGCATTCACTTACCCAGAGAACCTAATCAATGACAACAAGTTGAAATCCAAAGAGGTATGTCCTTTTTGTGATTCTGAAAGATTGGTGCTTTTTAAATTCCTGTTAATGAATTATGTGTATTTTTGTAGATATCAGATATATAGACACAAACTTACCTGTTTTCCTGAAACTTTGGATCATTATCATTCTGCTGGAGGCACCTTCTTTATTCATATTCATATTACTATTATTATGAATCAATTGTTTGGTTGGTCCACAAACGGCCAAATGTTGTTGTTGTTATTTTTTTGTACAGGACCAACGTAGTGTTACTGTGAACATACAGTGTGCAAACAACACCATAGTGATGAGTTGTGGAAAAACATGAAACTTTATCAAAGTAATAAAGTTTTATGAAAACTTACAAAATGTTATGGCAAGAACTTAATATATTTTGGAGTGTTTGGTGATAATTGATAAATCACATGATTACTTAAAAAATGATAAAACATTTTAACAATAATAATAATAATATTAACCCCTTGACAGTGTCTTTGAATGACACAATGCTTGCTTTTGCAGCCACATTTATATAGGAGGAAGTACCAAGTATCTTGGAGATATGGTACTGCTGTTTTGACATGGTAATCACCTATGTCTTGGAGATGATGTTAGTTATGAAATGTTGAAATATTCATGCTAATCTGATAGAAAAGTTGCTAGAAAATTTTCAACAGGACTGAAATAGAAAGTTGTGTGGATATTAGGTTAAAATTAATTTTCTGTTAACATTAAAGGGACTGAAATTTGATTTTAACAGACTGATTTAATAGTAAGGATAAAGAAATAATTTTAATAGTCTATCCACAACAGTTACTGTTCTTGAAATGGCTACTTCAGCATCAGGCCACTACAAATCTTTATCTGACCATGCTGATTTGAGTGTGGCCTGAGAAGTAAGGAGTGCAGCTCATAAGATGTCTGGTGACTCCACTGCACCAAATGCATGGACTGTTTTTTTTTTTTTAAATTTCATGTAGCACAATTTTAGAGAACTGTAAATGTGACAGTAGGCTTAAACAGTGGGCTTGGTTGATTTTCAGGAGGAGACACTGACTGCATTGGAATTGGAGTGTAAAATACAAAAGGGGATTGCTGAAGCAGCACTTGGGCTTGCCAATGACACTGCTGCGAGCAAAACTGCTCGGAGGAAGCACAGGCTTATGTACCAGCAGAGTCGTCGTCGCCTCCTAGAACTAGAAGCAAAGTTTGACTTGTTACAGCAATCCAGCAAATCTCAACATCCAAAGCAGAGGAAGAAGCCGCGGCCACCATTAGACAGTGGTAGAAATTTGATTTTGCTATAAACCCATACCCTTAACATTTGCTGTTCAGAATCAGATTTATTCGCTTGGAATTTTAATATAATTAAGTAAGGCAATAGAGCGTAGAGGGGACAGTTGTGTGCACTATGAATGTCTGTGTGAGAAAAGAGGTAAAGCACCATGTATCCCTAACCTCAGTGTTTGTTAGATGAGGGTGAGCAGTGGATTTTGCGATCTAGCCGCTTTAACTCTGGGGAATGTGCTCCTGGTACTGTAAAGTCATCAGAGCTGGTCTGAATGCGGTGGTGAAGAGAAAGCTCCCGCTGGAGATCAAACCCCTGTTATCCAGTCTTGACATCATGACTGTTCAGGAGTTTTCCTTTAAATTTGACTTGGTTTTATTATTTTTTTGATTTCTTGTATGATCTTACCATTTCTATAGATTTAGGCCGATTTATGAATAGATGCAACTGCAGTGAGGTCCTTAAAAATTTAGTTAGTTAACTTTATTTTAATTAGTTAAATCTGTCAATTAGTAAATTACTAAGTGAACAGAAATATGCTTTATCACAAAAACTGATGTATTAGCAAATTAATAATCATTGTGTAATAAATTTGAGAAACTATTCATGGAGGGTGCTGGCTTTGGAAGCAACACAGAGATCAGTAGATGAAGTGTATTTAGTCAAGTCCCTTCTGACATTTGCCTTCGAGGTCTCTGGATTATGTAGGATTCACTCTGTCTCTTGAAAAAGGTTCATATTCCGATTTTTGTTGAAAATTGTATGTTACAGCCATTGATTAAGCTTATTTATTGCAGCTTTTATGCATATTAATTTAGTATTTATTTTTTCAGATGTGGAAAATATAGATCGTGATGTGGTAGGTGATGCTTTGTCACATGACGGAGGAGTGAGTTTGTCACCTCTGAGTCCTGAAGCAGTCTCTGTTGAAAGTCATCAGTACTGGGACATTCGTCACTCTGCTACCTATGATGGCTTGTCTCGGCATGCTATGAGAGATATAAAAGGAGCCCATCCTCAATTGCAACGGTGAGTTTTAAGAAATATTTAGAAGACACACAGTTCAGCGTAGAAAGTAACTAACTGTATGACCTGGGTGGTTAGGATTTGATTTCTTAACCTTGGCACTAGATGGAGGTTAGTTGTCAGCATCACACTCTTATTCTGCCAAGATATTTCAGCAAAGTGTAGATAGTAAGGAGGTCTGATCAGACAGGATTAGTATAAGTTCAAATTCATTTTATGTGATGGCAGGTAACAGCCATTTCAAGCACAGAAATATTAAATAATGGAATTACATTTATTTTTGTGCCAGTAATATATTTTATGCTAAACCATGGAACAAGAGACTCCATATGACATCTCTCCAAATTATAAAATATTCACCCAGATATATATAGACACCTTGATTGTTGGATTCAGTTTTTAAATACTAGAGCAGGGCGCTCCTTTCGGAGCTCCTAGGGGGGATTGTTTAAATTTGTAAAATGCAACCAACCTTGGTTAGTCCCAAAGGGGAGTTAGTTTAGTGTCTCATTCAAGTGTTTTAACCCCTTAGTAAGAAACTAAACTAACCCCCCCCCCC